TTTTTTCCAAAGGGGTGTTAAGCAAGCCAGAGTCTCTTTTGAATGTCCTTCAGAACTTTTCAAAGTAAATACTCTAAATAAACTTGACATATAGCATTGCTGCAAAAAACATTCTCAGGCTTTTATTTTGGAGGCACAACAAATAAGTAGTATATAAACATAATTTCCTGGAGGCAGCTTTAACTGAAACACCTGTTACATTCATTAAATAGGAGAAAAATTCTCAGGTTTCAATCAAAAATAACCTACTTTCTAGACAGATTATTAAACAAGGAAGGAAGATGTTTAGCAGTGGCAGTTAATATCCAGCCTCATGGCTTTCCATCTCATGTTCTTCTACACATGCCGCCTCTACGTCAGGCTCATTCACAGCTCTTTTTAGTTCCCACCCACCTTCCCTTTAATCTCCACTGCTATCTCTCCCTGCTCACCTTGCTGTATTTTTGATCACCTCTTTATCTGTGTCCACCCACGTCATTGCCACACACTTCCACCTTTTTGGTAGATTTTCTCTGACATCTGTAACATGTTGACTTTTCTCTTTAAACCTCTGTTTACCTCTGCAGACTCGCCCTCCCTCTCTGTCTCTCTCTCTCTGACCCCTGTCAGTAAAGTTCTGACGAGAAGCTACCTAACACTGCATTGTCTGATCAGGTGTTGTTGAGTAAGCGAGTTTGTGGCCCTGATCTCATGGGGTCAGCTTAATGCTATCCTCTGCGGGATCTCTCCCTGTAACCTAGTCTGCTGCTCACCTGCCGCCGGGGCCTACATTTGTGCTCTAACTGTCGACTGGCCCCTCCGATGCTTACTCCTACAACATACTACAGTGCTCCTCCATGCCAGACAGCACACTCAATGCTATAAGATGTCTAGGTCTGCACTATATTTCTATGCATTAGTTTCTAAATACTCGGCTAATAGTGTTGCTGTTTTTAATATTTGTATTTTTTTGGTATTACTACTGTAAAGTCTAATGTCATTCCTCTTCTGCCAAAGTCCAGATAGCTGTTAAAGTTATTATTTCATAGTATCACATATCTGGATGACTTTGGATTTAAATGTCTTTCATTTCCATGCACATATACAGTACATAAACTTTAAAAAAGTTCTGTGGGTTTAAAAAAAGGCTTAGAGATTATGCTTCCACATTTATGCAACAAAGTGCACAGAATAGTTTCTCATTTGCACGAGCTAATACCTTGTTACCAGGAAATACATGTATCCATTTTCTCCACACACCACTGCCATCACAGGATTCTGTCGATTCTCTGCCAGCTGTGTATTTTGAGAGGAGTTTTTTTTTTTTCAGCTGTCATATTAACATCACACCAGCACACATAAGCTATATTTACTACTGCCATAAAGCAACTGGCTTCTAAAATGAAAGGGACGGACATAAACCCTGCTGCTTATACATGTGGTTGGCACAAAGCTCACACTGGATGAGATCCGTGACAAAACACAGAACCTGCCTGATTGTACCTGCCTCTCCCCTCTTCATCATCCTCCTCTAGGCGTCCTGTACAGTGCCGTAATATACAAGAGAAGTCTTCAGGTGCTTGGCCTATGGAAAAAAAACTCTCCCACTGTCAGTGATCTGCACTGCTGCCCTCTTTTCAGATCAATTCAGCTCATTAATGTATAGCGATTAATCAATAATCACCTTAGTTTGTTCAAGGTGGAATCTGACTTGAAAAGGGAGGGATATTGAGCTGCTTGCCCCCCGTGTATCACCTTTAGTACCCTTCTCTATGGTAGATAAAAAGAACATACAATCTTAGCACAAACATACAGTATTCTCAATAAAACTAAATTGCAGATTGACAAAAAATGTTATCTGGGCAACTAGAATGTCTGCACAGAATTTCACGCTGACATTGCCTTTCATAGAACCACGTCAGTAGCATGGCTACAAAATGGTTACTTGGGGAAATAAGGTTCGGGGGAAAGTTAGACATTACAAATAACTAAAAGGTGATTGGTGAAAACTTTTTAAGAACCAGTACTGATTAGGGTTGGGCAATGTCTACTGAAGTAGTATGCGAGGATGTCCACGACTGACGATGATATTCTTGTAAAGCTATTATAATTATTTTATACTTTTTAGGTTATAAATGTCTTATTACTATTTCTATCTTTTAAGCTCATTCACAGCCCATAATTCCAATAATTCTGTGATGTATTTTTCCTAAACATGAAATATTCTCAATTAAATGTGCAGGGCGAGATATGGTGGAAAAAAAAGTTAAAAGGTTTTAAGCTACTGACTTTTATAGTATTTTCTGGGAGACTTTAGGTTAAGATTTTGACCACATTTTGTAAACAGTTGTTAACTAAAGCTAGCCAGCCGCTAAGCAGCACTATCGAGCAACAACATGTTTTAAAGTACTCCTGATGCAGGTACTGCTTGGGTTGCTATGCCAGAGTCTGTAGTCTGTACAGTCCCAACAAAGTTTCTGATGCTGGTTCAGCAGAGGACATACACTAAGAAGCGTTACGCCACAGCAGTTAATGTTGCAGAGGTGTGTTAAGTAAATGTTATGTGTCTCAATATGTCTGTCTGTCTGTGATCCAGACAGAAGTATTTCAACAAATATTGGATGGACTGCCATGACATTTTTTGAATTACCTGGCGGTCTTCTGCCTTTTCATCTGGTGCCATCATCAGCTTTAAATTTCAGTATGACCAAATACCCGCTAAAAGATCCATTAGCCTTTAGCTGTATTTTGTGTTTAGTGCTAACATGCTAAACTAAGATGATGCACACATTATACACATTATAGGCTACTTGTTAAACATCAACATGTTAACATTGTCATTGTCAGCATGTAACCATGCTAGCATTAGCATATCATGCAGCCTCAAGGAACAGTTAGCATGGATGTAGACTTAGCATTGGTTTTCACTTTAATTTGTAAAAAAAAGTATTAGTATCTCAGAACAAACCAAGACACTGATAACATTCTCATGAAACCATAATGATAATAACTGTATGTGAGCATAGAGCCTTTTGTTTCATGTCCACAGTCAGCCTCTTTGCCACTGCAACACCAGACGAACATCTGGTGTTATTATGTAAACAACTTACAGCCAGTTTAATAAAAAGCAGGGATTGTCCAGGCTATATAGCTGGATTATTACAGTATGTTATCATTGTTATGTCACATTTGCTAAGTCTGAAAATCAGGGTCTGAAATCCAGGTGATTTGAATTTGAAGTCTTTTGGCCATTGGGCTTCAACGTTTTGGAATTACTGCTGTCTGAAGCATAGTAGACGTGTTTACAGAGTGGTGCAGAATGAAAGGAAAGTCCTCATCATGCACAAAGCTCTGCTCGTCACTCATCATTCTCATGTTCAATCTGTTTAGATGCAGTTTTTAGCTCCAGGGGTGACACTCTAAATCCACTGTTTCTTCCCCAATCAGCCGTGATAGAATCATTATGAAGGGTGTTTGTTTCTGTAATATGCATCATTTAACTTAAGTAGACTACACTTAATAAGGCAAAACGTTTCTCAGTCATGAATTAAATAATTCAGCAGTCTACCAGTCACACCAAAGGAGAGAGAAATAAATGCAGAAATTACATTATTCTCTCTGCTGACTTAATGCAATGGTGCATTTAGAAATAAATCAATTATGGAGAAAATAACACAGGGGTCTACATATTAAGAAATTTAACAAACACAAATAAAACACACACTGCACCTGCAAGCACATCAAAAAGATTGTACACTATCTGTGTTGTGGCACATCTTTCTTTTCCACAGAAAAGTTGCAGATTGGTAAGAGAGAAGATGATGTTGGCAACACATCACATACTCCATTCAGAGCCTCAGTGTTGAAGTTCTTCTTTCAAATTGAAAGTACATCAGCAATACTCAGCAATACAGCAATACTCAGGCCAGTAGCTGATTCATCCAAACAGCATCCATTGAATTATAAATGTTTTTTTTGTTTCCCCTGTGAGCCACATTTTGTCCTTGTGTGGGTGTGTTGGTGTGGATGTGTGTCATTCACTGCAGAAATCCTTAACTTCTACACAAATTAGTCAGGATGCCGGTAGGTTTGTGTAAGTACATCTATTAACATTTCTTATTTGTTAACCAAGAATTTCCCCCATTGAACGAGGCAACTCTTTGTTGTGCCATTGTATGCAATCATATGTACAAGGTAATTTCTAATTGCAAATCCTGCTGCATTTGAAAAATGTGCACGGTTGCACTGAATTCTACAATCTGCAGATGTGCAAAAAAAACTGGAGAGAATACTAAGAGTGCACAAAACTGCTGATGTTTTTTTTTAGCTAATTTCACAATTTATTGTTCCTGCAGGTATCTGCATAATTATATATTTGGGAATGCACAAGCTCTGTGAGGTGTATGAAAAGTGATTTCAGCTGAGTTTGGCATTTATTCAACAACCTGTTTTATTTTTCCTTTGCAGAGCTGAGTGCAGCAGCCACCGGTCAGTGTATCAAACAGACGAGGTGGCTGTAGACAGCTGCTCGTGTTAAACTATTAGCTTTTATGAGCTTTGACGGCAACAGCTATGAAGTTGATCACTTTTAACTGTGAGTCGATGGTAAACATGTTTTAGTCATACAATGTCATGCTGGGTGATTCCTTATTCCTAGTGGAAATAATTTTTGATACACTGTTGAGATAAAAACTGAATAACATGGAAAAGCACACTGGCAGCTTGATAATCAGCTAAATAAACATGGGATTCTTTTTCAAATTGATTTAAGTAAAGAAATTAACTCCATACTGAAAAGACTTTAAATTTGAAAATTTGACATTATGATAACCCATTGAATTATTCAGTTTTATAATGTGTAAATTTGTATTTGATTAATTGTGGAAACTCATTTCCTCCATTGTCATTTCATACAAATTTCACATTCCTTTGTTCAGCTTTCCTTTTTTAGCCCAATATCTGAACATGTGAGCGAAAAAAGGAACAAGCAGAGAAAGATGAAAGCGATAGCAGTGACTCACCCGGCCTTTTTTCGTTTCGACTTTTTCGACCCCCGCATAGTCGTACTTTGGAGATCAGGACCAGGATCTGTTTCTGGCACAAGGACTTGTTGCTCTTAGGACAGGGCTTGCGCTTGCTGGCTACCGGTCGGTTGGTTTGGTCTTCCTTGACCGCCCGTTTTTGTCTAATGAGAGAGCTGGCGAGAGCTGCCATCTTCCCCCCCTCTCAACTTTGGGAGGGGGGTAACTTCCTTCCCAGTACCCCCTTTGCTGGCTTGGCTCTTGATTTCCTCAAAAAAAAAAAAAAAAAACTACAGTAGGACGGACCTTTAAGAGAAGCCCACACAGGGCAGATCGGGGCGTCTAAGTGGGTTAACAGGGGAGAGTTTAGTTTGAGGATTCCCTCGGAGAGCGAAGAACTGGAAGAGATGCAAGTTCACCTGCAGTCCAAAGTAAAGCCTCCACTCTGACCAAAAATAAGAATCTGACACTAACAGAGCACACAAGAAAGTGCCACAGTCACATTTTCAGTTTTTAAAAAAAGGGTTAAGATGAAGATATATTTCTACCCCTCTTCCCCACTCATCTTTCACATCAAAATGCGCCTCGATATCCAAGTCCAAAATATTAGATTAGAAATATTAGATACTTAAAACAGACAATACCAAAAGGAAGGAGCTCAATTTACTTTACATATAAAAACACTTTTACTGAAGAAAAGTGAACTCATTTTGAATGCTAGGAAGCTCTTAAAAGCACAGGAAGAATCAAATTGTTTGTCACCATTTGTGCAGTCCACGGAGGTCCAACTTTGCCTCCCATTTAAATGTGGCAGCATGGAATAATGAGCCGAGAGTCCAAGCGGTAATCCAGCAGTCTTAAATCCAGAGGTAGAACAGCAGGCGGGACATTGGCCAGGCTTGTAGGAATGAAGCCGGGAACAGAGCAGAGACATGGACACAGACAGACAGAGGTTCCTCTTCTGCCTCCGATGGCACGCTCCTTTCCCACAGTCCTCACCAAGCCCCCCCTCCCTCCCTCCTCCTCCTCCTCCTCTCCTCCTCCCATCCAAAGTCAGCGAGTGGTTGTGAGAGTGTGTGTGCGTGATTTCCAGCAGCCACCATCAGTAGAGGTGACATTCATGAGAGAGAGAGAGAAGGAGAGAAAGCAAAAAAGAGCGAGGGAGACAGAAGGGAGGGAGGGGAGGGGGGGAGGTAGACGCTGTGATGTGTGCGAATGAGCTTGACTGGCAAAGGATCCAGCAACGTCCCCCCTAAAAAAACAAAAAAAACCCTCAATCACTTTGTCCTACTGAAACAGGGAGACAGTGCCAGAGGGCAGAGAGGGAGAGCGCTTAAGGTACAGATTGTGACAGTTCTCTGTCTCCTGGAGAGGAAAAGCATCCCCATGTGTTACCTTCCTGTCACATGCATCCACACACACACACACACACACAGCATATCATCTTATTTTGTAGAGGAGTCTTCCCTGCTGTATGATTGTGTGTCTCCAGTCAGGATTCTTCTTTGCGTTCCTCCCCAACACCCGCTCATATAGTAAGTAACCTCCACGGTCTCTTTGTGATCTGGTTCCTTGAGCTCGGCGTGTGAATTGGAGGGCAAAATAAATAAAGCCTTTGTTCCCTGAAACTGGCATTTAGTGTCTGACATGTCTGACTGCTGGCTTACGCTAACCCCGACAGAGAAACATGAGCTTGGACAGATTGAGTTAGACAGTCAGCCGTGCCAACACACACACACACACACACACACACACACACACACACACACACACACACACGCAAACTCATATCACCCTTGCTCTCCCTCAGCCCCTGAGTTGAGCAGCAAACAATGGCATATATTACGCATTGTCTTCATGCAGCTCCCTCATTTGTTCCATTTAGACACACATTCGAGGGCTGACATAAGAGATCTCGCCAATAATTTTGGACAAAACAGACTTCTACAAGTATCGGTAGAGAGCACACATCATTCTGACATACTTTTACACAAAATAGCTGGTTCTGGTAAATGACAATGCCCTGCAGTCAAGCATTTCTCATCATGTTGAGTAGCAACAAAAACAGGGTTTATGTGCACGATTTTCATTTTGCAAAACAAAGAAAACGTGATTTCAGACAAAACCGTATGTTTGGAGAAGTGGAATATTAGGCAAGTCTGTCCAAACATTTCTATAAAATTCTCAAAGGATGTTTAGTGTTTTCCACCTGTTTCTGGCTGTATGTAATGTGGACATTAGTGGCATGATCTTGATGATGAATTGTTAAGATTTTTGCAGGAATTATGTTCACCTTCAAAATAAAAGTACACCGCTTGATATATCTGGACCGTAATGTGAAAAGCTCATTCACTGTCAAAAATATCCTCAATGTGCACAATGAATCTGCGTAGAATATTTTATATTCTACAACTGAATATGAAAATGCTGAGCATTTTTGGTTCAAACCATCAGACTCGAATCCAATAAATCAGCTTATCTGAGAGCCAATCAATCCAGTTTTATTTGGCATGGCACCTCTTTTACAAGCCAATTGCCGGGGAAACCAGCAGCAGAAGCAACTTGAAAATGCAAGGTCGATTCAAATAGTTTCTAACAATGCCGAGCAAGGTCACCATCTGTCAGGGCTTGATTGACAGGTGACAGCGGATGTTTGGTCTCCACGGAGCGACGGCGGCATGGCAGGGGCGGAGGAGGGCAAACCGTGAGATGAGATGATGCAGTTTGTATTGACAGGGAAACGAGAAACGATATTTTTTCTCCTTTTCTAAAGATTTGTTCGCCCTGGACTCTCCAACAGTGCTCTGCCACACACTCGTCTTCTTGCTGTGGGTTAAGAATCAATCTCCTAATGGACATCACATTACACGCATTACCAAAGGTTATTCTCCTTTTTGCTTTCTTCAATCACAAGTATATGCCAAGTTACACCAAAAGAAAGCTAAGTGGGAGTTCTCAAGGTTCACAGTCTCAAGGTTGAGGAGTGTTTCCGTCATTATAATGAAATTTCATGCCAAAAGCTATGTGGAATCATTAAGAGTGAAGACATCACCTGTGTCAACACACCCCAGCAGAGAACTAACACCCGTTAAGTCAGGAGTTTCTTACTGTCATTAGTTATTTCCAATTTATTGCCATATAAATGTTGGTCTTTTGTCTTGCTCAAATGTAAAGTGTGCACAGCACACAAGCCTAGCACACTTTTCAACAAGGTTCTTAAACTCACATCTAATCAGTCAGGATGTACTGTGTGGGCGACCTCAGCCCTGGTATCATTATTGAAAGTGCCTTGGTAAAGTGGAGGGGGAAAAAATCTGCATAAAAGCCAAATGAAAATATGAAAATTAAAAATAGCATATAATAATTCTGTCCATATGTGAATTCTCATCATCTGCACAAATAATGCACCAGGGGGGATTAAATGCAGATGTTTTGCTAAAAACAATCCATGCCACAATGCCTGCCCGCATATCAATTAACATGGAAGCGTATGAACAGCATAACCTCTTTGAAAATGCTTTATGTTGAAAGGTTTTTCCCAGTATAATGGCTTCTAGGCTTTGGTGCATTCCATGCTACCTAACAAAGACTTCTCTAATCTTTACTCATTGGGGTGATTAGGTGACTATAGCAAGGAGTTTGAAAATGTGGGATTTTTGCTCAAAGATATTGTGTTTCACTATTCATCCCAGTGGTGGAAAGTAAGCAAATACATTTTAGTGATGTGCGGATCGATCCTAAAGTATCGATATTTCTGATACCAACATTTCCTGCTCTAGAATTGATGCTCATATAAAAGGATCGATATCTAAACTCCATAATTTGGAGTGAGTGTTTGTTTTATCATAAGTATCTCACTGTCACCAGAATGGTCTATTTATACTCAGTTTATAGGAAATACTTTTCCTTCCGCCTGTCAAAGTCATGTTTGCGCTACCGCTCTGTGACTGAGCTTCTTTGAAGTGAGCCGCTGTAGCACTTTACATTTCCCGCGATTGAATACTGACTATGGCTGACTGTAAAAACAGTCATTTCTGGCTGTATTTTAGCTGTGAAGGTGATGGAATATGGAATGTTGCTCTGTGTGATGTGTGTGCAAAGACAGTGAAATACTTTGGCAACACTGCAAACTTCGCTAAACATCTGAGATTAATTAACAATAATATGATGATGTTATGAAGCGGCAGTTCTGAGCAGGATATTTTTATTATAATTAAAGAATATGACAGTAGTATGATGTCTTGTCATTATGCAGCTATTATTTTGAATTGGTAAGCCTACAACCTACTCCTTATTTCTCTCATAAATACAGAAACATGAGGGGGAGGTCACATTAAACTAGAAATAAAATATGTAAAAAGTATTGGTAGCGGTATCGGCAATGCCAGCCTGGGTATTACATGATATTGGATCATATAGGAATTAACTGGTATCGTACATCACTAATACATTTACTGAAGTACTGTTCTTAACTACAATTTTGAGGTACTCTTCTCAACTCTACTTTATAGTATTTCCACTTGATGCTACTTTTTACGTCTGTTCCACTACATTTCAGAAGAAGGTAGCCCAGGTTGCCCACTAATTAGGTCGGGGATTTGATCCCCCATGAATGGGACAAGTAAAGCACTTTGAGTGATCAGAAGACTAGAAGGGCCCTATACAAGTACAGCCCATTTGCAGGAACAGTAAATTATCTAACGAAACAGTTTTTTGTATTTGTTTTCTCTACTCATCATGATTTAGCAACATCAAAATATGAGAGTTGTTGGCTTGTTACATTGCAACTGCTAATGTAAATGAGGGTAAAATTGTAAACGTGCGGCTGGTGTAGTTACCAAGCGAATGGATCTCATTCTGATAGCGAAACGAGTCAATTTGCTCGGATTGCGATGGTCAAATATATTGATTCACTGTGTTACAGCCGCCGTTTTGGCCACTAGTAAAAGTTTATTCAAAGCGCTGGATACTTCCGGTCGGCTCGGAGGCATTGCGAGGCTACCCAGCCGACCAATCACAGTGCTTATGGTCCGCATCGACTCGACGTGTAGTTACATTTTTGAGGAGGAGGACGTCAGGCGACGCTGTTGATTCGATTCAGAAGTATAAATTACCCTTTATCCATTGCGCCATTCACCATCTAGCTAAACTTGTTTTCTTCTTTCCCATTAAAAGAATCTCACGACCCCTCAGATTTATCTTAGGACCCTTTGGAGGGCCGATGTCCTGTTTTTGTCTGTTTTATATGATAGTTATTGAATATTATTGGGTTTTGGACTTTTGTTTGGACAAAACAAGCAAATTCTAGACAAACTTGTTGCTCTGCAGAATTGGGACTGGCGTTTTCTCTCTATTGTCTGTTTTTATTCAACACAAGATGAGGTAAACAATGAACATAATTAATCGAGAACACAATTACTTGATCCATCAAAAAACAGATCAATCAATAATATAGGCAGTATGGTTGTTACAAAGTGTCCTATAGTGTGTCGGCCCAGTTAACCCTGATATAATGTAGCTATTCTGAATAGAGTTTAGACATGCAGTCACATTTACGTAAACACACACAAACACACACACGCACAGAAAGCCAGAAAGAGTTAAGTACATCAAAACAATTGGCCTAGTTCTGTCTCTTTCTCCCGCCCCTCTTTATCACTCTCTCTCTCTCCTTCAGTCCCCTCTCAGCTCATCACGCTGTCCACAGATGACAGGAGGTATTCTTCGTTAATCCTCCTCCATTATGCGAGCATGTGGAATCTGAGGCCTGCCTCTTGCATACAGAACTAATAATTCTAATGTCCATGACCCATGGGTGAGTTGCTCATTAACTCTGAGCAGCATATATCATTCTCTGTTTTCTTCTTTATTTATCCCGGTTCAGATCAGTCTCTGGTAATTAGGTTTTAATCGTGAGCATTACTCTGTGTGTGAGACTGATACAGATTCTTTTTTTTCTCCCCCGT